AACTGTGGTCAATTTTGTCAAATTAGCCGGAAAAAAATATTAGTGAAAATTACTTAACTTTGATTAATAACTATATCCGATTTTATATGTTAGGTATCATAAAATTACATTAATAATATAATTAATAAGAACAGGTCGTATACAGCGTGTATAATAATTAAAAACTTGGAAAAGTTTCGTTATTTTTTATTTTAAATAGATGTTGGTCGCGATCATTTGCATATGTTAGATATTTAAAAATTATCATTTTATAAGAATAATACTATGGATCTTACAGATTTTGCTAACAGTTGCTTTTAGCGATTTCTAGGAATTCCATACTTGCCAAAATCTCGAATCAATTATTGATAGCAAAATCAAACCGGAATTTCAAAATATATTAACCGATTATCAGCATGGCTTTAGAAAAGGAAAATCTACAATTACAAATTTATTAGTCTATGAAAATGAATTAAAAACATCTCTAGAGAAGAAACAACAAATCGATGCTATTTACACAGATTTTTCTAAAGCATTCGATAAAGTCAATCATAATCTGCTGATGGAGAAATTGGAGAGGTGTGGAATTTGTGGAAACCTTCTGTCATGGTTTAAAAGTTATTTAATGGAACGCCGCCAAAATGGTTAAAATTAAAGGGTTCACTTCTAGGGAGGTTTTAGTCGAGTCCGGAGTTCCACAGGGGTCTCATTTATCTCCGCTGCTTTTCAATATATTTATTAATGATGTAACCGACTTTGTTACACACTCTAAATTTTTGTTATACGCGGATGATCTCAAAATTTACAAGGTAATTCAGTCACTGGATGACTGCTTTAAGTTGCAACAGGATTTGAATGGATTGAGTGAATGGTGTAGGTTGAATAGGATGTCATTAAATATACCAAAGTGTAAAGTAATGCAGTTCTACAGAAAGAAAAATGTTTTATTTTATGATTATAAGATTCAAGATGATATTTTAGATAAAACTGATGTGATGAAAGATCTAGGTGTATACTTTGTTAAGGATCTGAATTTTAATTATCATATTAACTTCATGACAAACAAAGCGTTAAAGATGTTGGGTTTTATTAAAAGAACGTTAACTGATTTTAATGACATAAACTGTATCAAAACTTTATATATTGCCTATGTGAGATCGATACTAGAATATGCTTGCCCAGTCTGGGGTCCATATTATAAGATCTATGTGGAGCAGATCGAACGCATACAGAGAAAATTCTTGAGGTTTGTGGGCTTTAAGATGGGAATCCCCGTGGAAGATATTGCAATTGAGGAAATAATGTATTCATTGAATTTACCAAGTTTGGGAGATCGGCGAAAATTTATAGATATTTGCACACTTTTCAAGATTCTCAACTCTCAGATTGACTGTCCCAGCTTACTAAGCGAACTATGTTTGCATGTTCCGGGGAGAATTCTGCGTGGGTTTGGTCTGTTCCATATACCTTTTCACAGAACTAATTATGGAATGTCTGCGCTTACAAGATTTTGTGTAGAGGCTAATCAGATTATTGATAGACTGTCGACTTCTTCTGTAATAATATAAATAGTTTCAAGAATAAAGTAAAGGCGGAGGTTTTGTAGTAATTTATTGTAAAGTTTCTGTTGTGATGGATTTTATTCTAGTTGTAATTATAATTATTGTTGTACGTACATTTAAATGGCTAGTCCGTAAATATATTATCTTATTTTATTTATTTAAAAAGTCAACAACCTCCAAGCGTTTAATATGGGCAATACGTCCTAAAAAATGGCCTGGACTTAACAGACGGACTAAGACGGTAAATTTGTAGGTTTGGTAAAGTTGTCTAATGGTTTAACTATCAACTTAACTTTATTTAAAACGGAAACCTCATAAGACATTTTTCTGCTAGTTCATTAAAAAAATGTATATTCTAATAATTTAAAAAAAAAATCTAACCATATCAAAATTATTTACTCATATTTAATATTCAACAGAAGAACATTAATGTCAAAAAACTTACCAACAACAATTGCTCTTTCTATTTTAGATAGTATTAATGACATATAACTTTTTGCACGGAATACGCAAATTAAAAACTTTATTTATGTGCAAATAACAAGATTATTTAGTTTAATTTGTCAACCATACTACATTTTCAATCAAAATAACAGTAAATTCATGAGTAAATTCGCAACGACCTTTGACATATTTGTTAATGAAATGTTCTTAGCAACTATTTCAAAGCCTACTTATGGAGTTTTTGACGCCGCTTAGCTTCATCATATTTTTTAATATTTTCCTGTTAATTTTTAAAAACTGACCACAGTGCGGCGCCGGCGGCGCACAGTGTTCAAAATTTGCAAAAAACCGATCGAAATTGAAAATTTTTAGTTTATTTGAGAATCGTCAAATTTACGTATATGTTTCTTTACCTCATTTTACAACTTTTAACCAAGCATTGCTTTAATGGTTTTATCATGACTGAATATTTTTATGAGCAAAAGCTAAAAAAATAATAATAATTTTATACAGCATATTTTGGCATTAAAATGTTTTCTTTTTTAGCCGCTGTAAGTCAAATTTTTCATGGAAATGTAATTATATCAGAAAAAAGTACATATTTTAAGGATTTAAATAACCTAAATACTATAATGAAGGTCGCTTTTCCTTTCAGGCATAATTCGCTGCCTATAACCCAATACAGTTTTTGAAGAAATGCCATTTTATTGGTCTTTTATGTTTATTGCTAGTCCTTGCTCATCAATAAATTATACATTACATAAAAGCCTATAGTCTAAGGAATTTAGGAACATTTTGTTTTACCTGCGCAAAGGTGCGCATCAGGCTGCAATTCGGATTCATTTGCGCTGAGTTTTAAACATGTTTACACGCGGCCGGGCGGCCAGTATTTAGTTTTTTATTATATGGTGTTCAGTGTAGTCATAAGTTTAGTTTGTGTTATTTTGCGGTGTTGTAAGTCAACAAATATATTGTTTTAAAGTGTGTGGGTTTATTTTTGGCATTTATTCATGATGGCAATTACACGTCTGCATCTACATGAGAAAATGATGGAAATACCTGGCCAAGATTTCTCTGTGAAGAAAATTCATGTTTGGACTTTTTAAAAGATCATTTTGAAACAAACGGAGATGAAATTGCAACTAACTCTCTCAATAACTTCATGAGGCAATCGTTTTTTCCGTAATATTTAACAAAATAGAAAGCTGCTCGGAGGAAAGACAGAAATTTCTTGTCTAGGTATGCAGATTGGCTATACAGGTTGATGTTATTTTTCCCGATGAAGTGTTTCATTGTCAACGACAACTTACGGTTCCTGATTGTTCTGCATCTACAAGTGGAGGTAAATATGCAAAATAATTATTTATCTATAGGGATAAATTCTAACATTTTATATTATTATACCAGGTCGGCCGTCAAAAACATTTGTAGAAAGTTCGGACGTTAGTAAACGTAGAAAGACTGAAAAAATTCGACGGCAAAATACAGCAGCCGAGTTATCATTTGCTGAGTCTATGAAATTGCGTAAAGAGGGAAACGTCTCTGCTTCAAAATTGGTAACAGAGGCAACTATGACCACGCCCACAAGAGCAACTAAAATTCTGGAATGTTCACATAACAAAAATCAGCCCTGCTAAAATTAATGAGGATTTGTTCAAAAGACTCATATTGAGCTCGGATCCACTCCTGAGTTCATTTCATTTCTCCAAAAAAGTTCATAGGAAAATAGACCAAAGCATGCTTCCTTTGCTGGACCTTACAGAGGAGGAGAAACATGAACTCAAAATTGATGAGCATAATGACAATGAAGATAATGATGGGCGAGAACAATATGAGGATTCGGATGATTAGTTTTTATATTATTATAATTGATATATGACTGCTATAGACTATTTGCAATAAAACCTGTCAAAAATTAATGAAAAAGTAGTTTAAATTGGCGCAATAGGGTTTACAGCTTGCACGTAATCAATTTTGACCAAGTTTTCATCAATTTTGAACACTGTGCGGCGGTGATATAGGCATATAGTCGCAGGCGCCTATATTGAGACTTGAACAAAAGTCCTAAACAAACATCATGGACATAAAATGCAAACGATAAGAAAGTATTTTGCAGGAAAAAATAATATTTATACTGTGCTTAGTTCGGGAGTATCTGTAAGGTATTTAATTTTCACGTTAATATTTTTGTTAAAATAATATTACCGACTATAAACCAATGCAACTCCAAATAAATATTGTTGACCTCTGCTCAATGTGATAAAAAACGGCATCAGCCATGGTTATAAAATGAAGATCGCTGTCATTTTATATGTAAAATATTATGGGGAATGTCATCGATGTTCAATGTTACCCTTTTACTATTTATTTTATGATTACTAAATCGGAATTAAAATATGGTTCTAAAAATATTAAAATGGTATTAAGAAGTCTTCAATAAATAGTATATATAAATTGGATTGAAAATTTAATATTATTGGTAAAATAATCAATCCAATTACGCCATTTTGTGGTCTCTATTATTGTTCCCTGGTTGTATGTTTCTTGTTCTGGTCCCTAAAATTATCGCCGGTAGTGCCAGTTACGATTCTTGTTTTTATGAAACGTAAATTGTGCATGTGGTTCGTTCAAATGAACGAATTGTAGGAGTCGATTCAATATGAGAAATTGAATCGTGTGATTTGATTCATTAAAAAGAATCTTAATGCCCATTACTACAACACATTCCAGGTATAGGCGACAATCCAAATGCTCATAAGTTACGTCAGAATTTTTAGGCGCCTGTTTAAACTAGTGAAAAATAATTTGAATAAAAATAAAAATAAACATAATGAAAAATGATTTGAATGTAATTTACTGTTTACTCCTTTATCTGTACTCTCAATGCAAGTTTCTTTTTCATATTAAAGATATAGTTTGAACAAATAAATTGTGAGAACTTTACAATAAAAATCAAAAAGTTTAAATATATCTAATGAGAGTCAATTTATTTTGAGTGTCACAGATTTTACTTACCGGTTCTGGTAAAATCCGTTTTTAAAGCCCCAGTGCCTGAATACTGTATACTAATCAAATCAGCATGATCAGCCCATACGTTCTTAAACAATGACTCAAAAGTCCGATGATCTTCTAACTTCTGATCATAGCTCAAGATCGTAAATTTCCTCAATACAATCTCTAAGTTCCTATGAGCCAACATGCTCTGAACAACATTGGTTCTATCCAAACAGTCAATGCAATTTGTTCGGAACACCCCTTCTTGCAAAGAAGAAAATGTTCCATCAGAAAGAATTAGGAAATAACTCATATCATCCTGATCTAAAGCAACTCTATCTGTCAATATGGATAGTCTGTGCCATTTCATTTTTCGACATTCGGCGTGGAAGTCAAATGGTTCGTAACGAACTGACGGATGAGATAAATAGCTTATGGTGTCCTTAAATGCCTTCTCCAATCGACCTTCAGAGCCCACTTGATCAACCAAATCTATCATGACCTGTCTGCCATATATACCTGCTGTGGTTTCTAGATGTCTTAAGCAAGCAGCTTGTTGATCTTGAACATCCACTCCCAAGTCCAAAGTTATGCTTGGTTTGTACCGCAAATCTGGCTTTTGATACCAAAAGAGTGGTATTGAACCTCTTATCTTAAAAAATATGATATGATAATCTAGATGATAAGTTATCTCAGAGTAATAATAATACTCCTAATCAGTAACTACAGAGGGATTCTTATTGTTCTTGGTTATATCCTACCTGTACAAAACTAGCTCTATCACCTTCACTAGACTCAACAATTTGTTCTGTCTCAACAAAATTAGCTACATTCCCATCCTTATCTATGCCTCTTCTAAACCATCTTGTTCCAGCTCTTTTTATTCAAATAAAAATATATCATAGAGTAATTAATAAAACTATCAATATGTCATTAAAAAATCAATGTTTTTACACATCAACTTATTATAAGGTCGATGGATGACAACAGTCAATTATAAATTTATAATTTACCTATAAATACTTCTCCTAGATATAATTGCCCAAGTAAAATTACGACCATTTATGACACATTGGTTAATTGAAACAAATCCATGTAATAAAGGAAGGGAAAACCTTTTAGCATTTGTCTCCTTAAATTGTTCTAAAAGATATCTGTTCCAAACAAACCTATACAACATATGATAAGCTTAAAAAGTGTTATAATTAAAACAGGATGCCTACCTATTATCAGCCCTTTGTAACATGGATTGTTGCCAAAAATCAGGTGTAAGATCATGCAACCTCTGAATGGAATGAGTAATATCATAACTATAGCTGAAATAAAAACTTGGAGTTGCTAACACATTTTCTACCATATTCACATAAGTATTATTGTCAGCTAACTTTTCATTGGTCAAATGAAGCATACTGCGACAATATGGTATCAGTTCAGTTTTAACTAGCTTCCATATTGGATGACCACCTATATACCTATAAATTTTGACCTAAATCAAAATGAAACAGATGTAATATCGGGGCCATACCCAATCAAATCTCTCTGTGTTGCTATAATTAAATATCTTCCAGCCAACAAATTAATAGATCCGAGAAGCCCGCAAAAGTCTTTGTTACTATTAGCTGCCGGAATTTGACCCGTGTTTCGATGTACAGTTACAGCTTCCGATCCACGATCAATTACTAACAATTCATCACTAGTTTTTGGTTCTATATAAAATTTCTCAGGAGTAATGTACCTATTAAAATACACCCTATTATAAATTTAATATACCTTATAAATAATGCAGTTTATTCAATATCTTAATATATATGGTAACTTATATTATTTGGTAACTTACAAAGTTAGGTCGTTGTATACATCGGAATTAGACATTTTTAGAAAAATATAAAAACTGTAACTTTTAAGAACAGTTATAAAATATCCTAATATCCTTTTTCATAATTATTTAAACATTAGCAAATATATTACAAACTGGTGAATGACATTTCAATTTAAGATATTTGCAATTATTTTATAAATTTTATTATAAGGAGATGATTACAAGATTACAAGCTGATTATACTATACACAAGTGTATTACATCATGTCATCTGTCAATCTGTCATCAGTCTGTCATTTCACAAGGCTAAAGCCCCGCAGTGCCTTCTATTAAAAGATCAGCCTGCGGGCGAGATTTATGACGTCACGCTAGTTAGATATAACGGATTAATAAATATATTGTAGAATACATGGAAAACATAATTATTCCTCAGATTTTTGGTTTGTATTTTAAAAATGATATAGTTTAAATGAAATATACATAATATACAGTTAATAACTACAACATATATACCTATTTATAGTAATAAATACTTTGGCAAATAAACTATGAACCATACAAATGCAGCAAATGTTTTACAATGTACAAATAATGTATAGGTACATAAGATAATGGGTAAAATGTAAAATATATTTTAAATTTTGGGGTTTGAAAATCGATCTAATTTAACAAAAACATTTAATATCTACTAATAGTGATGTATTATTATTTGCATTCATAAAATTTATATGTATATTTTGCAAGTATCAATGTTCGAAAAATTATATTTACAAATAATACAATAGTATCTAAAAAAAGGCGTCAGCGATGGCTATGAAATGAAGATCGCTGGCATTTTATATGTTAAATTATTCTAAAATTTTTGATTTTCTTGTGATTTTTAGGTTCGGGAAAAACGTTGATTAAGTTTTCATTTGGGTTTTCATTATTTTTATTTGGTTTAAAAAAAACGTTTCGGCTAACTATAGCCTTCACAGTGTTGTGTCATATGAGAAAAATGGTGTCGAATATAATCCAAAAAATTACATATACAATATAATTCACACCTCATAATGTTTACTGCAATTAATAAACTAATATAAACTTATCAAAAGATGACCACATATTTTTTAAAATTATTATTCTTAACACTAAAATTATCTACATTGACTATGGAGTACGCAGTAAACATTATGTGCGTGGTGTGAATATTTTATATGCAATTTTTGGATTATATTCGACACTATTTTTTCATATGACACAACACTGATGGAGGCTATAATGTTAGCCGAACCGTTTTTTAAACCAAATAAAAATAATGAAAACCAAATGAAAAATCAATCAGCGTTTTTCCCGAACCTAAATTCCTAAAAAAATCAAAAAAAATTTAGAATATTTAGAATCAAGGTTCAAGAATATCAAATTTTCCAAGATTGTAAAATTCTAGTTAATTATTTTATGTGTACAGTTATTTAGGGAATGTCATCGATGTTCATTTCCAAGCCAACTAGACGCCGATTTTTTCGATGATACGGTATAATTCTTACGTAAAATGTAAATAACATTAGACCAATTAAAACAAAGAAATATGAATTTCTTAGTATTTTTAGTAACACCTTTATTCTTAAAACTTAATTTTGTATTATGCAAATATACCAATTTTATTGTTATTTTATTCATATTGTATTCAGCCATCACTTAAATATTTGATATTAATTTGGTATTATAAATAATCAATACTATTCATTAAAAATTACTGAACAAATATATGTTATGCTTAACATACATTATATATTATCAAACAAAAACACATTCTTCTTTTAAACTGTATCAGTCTTGTCTTTACAAAAATCTTTTTTAAAATTTGAACTCAAAATAATAATCTTTTTCATGATCTCTAATACACATATTCTTTATTTTTCCCTAGATCATAATACCTACTTACGTGTTTGAATCTATCGAAGCTGAACCAGCAACACTTGGAGTGGAGATTCCACAATATGAATAAAATAAACATAATTGTCCAGTTTTCATTAATACCATCATGGGAGAATATTATTTTTAAATTTATTAAAGATATTTTCAATAAAATTCTCTTGATTTATAACTCGTACCCACTTTTCTTGCTCTTCCGGACACTTTAGGCTGCCTAGTATAATAACTATCCTTAGTAACTATCCTTTCCACCAGGAACACAACAAAGATGAGGCATAGCACCAAAAACACACTCCACTTAAGCTTTATTGATGAATTGTTAGAGTCTTAAAAAAACACACACAAAAATCACGATAAGTAAAAAATGTATGGGCACTTTTAGGTTAAATCACTTACACAACGTGTAATTTTAAAATTTCTATTTTTTTATGCGAAACCGAGAGTGACCATATATCTGGTAGTAGTTTATGTCACTTCAACACCAAAATAATTAGTTTTTTGCACTACAATAATAAATAATACCAAAAATCAAAGAGTTAAAACCAAAAATCAACCGACAAAATATGAAACGGAATCTAACCCAATATCTAAGTATGTACAGCTGATGAAGTAAACAAAAGTCCGCCCGTAGGCTGATCTTTTAATAGAAGGCACTGTGTCAACCTGTCAATTGGAAAGTTAGTTCTCCAGACGACAACGAAGGCTTTCGGTGGCGTATCGTGTTTCCACGATTTAACACAGAGTTGACACTTCTTTCTAGTTAATTATTTTATGTTAGCCACGACCAGCCACGACCAGGGGGGTGACAGTAAACCGGAAAATTGGAAACAGTTCTGGCGCGGTCTTACCCAGGCGGAAAGCATGGCCTTCTAGACTGTCCTAGACAAAAATCTGAATATTTCTATATGATTTCTGCCAATTTCAGTTACGGAACATTTTTATGCACGTCGGCGTCCTCTTCTTTTGTCTGTGTGTCAGCCATGTGTCAACTACCGAGGCCTCTGGCAAGGTCGAGCGCCATTTTAATTTTTGCCGTTTAGATTTGATTAGAAGCTTGTTTATGATATTTCGGCGGAAATTTATAAGTACAAAGATGTTTTTTGATATAAAGTTCCTTGTTAACACTTTAATAAAGTATATATGATATTAATTACATAAAGAAAATGATGAAATCGACGTTTCTGCGTGTAGTAGGTATGGGCCATATTATATGTAAAAATAGGTAATATATTAACTGTTATATTTTTTTAGCTTTAGATCCAAGGATCTTGGGATATTCTTTGCCAAGGATTTTTCCGTATATCTACTTTAAAGACTGATCGGAGATTTTGAGCAATTGAAAGCAAGTTACACAAGGTAAATTATGATTATTGAAATATTATTAGCCTACATTAATTATCTACAAGATGAACAGAAATGCGTAATTACATATCACATAGGTACCTATTATGTATTTTCATAGAATAATGCTATGTATGTAGATTATTTTTAAAATACAAATGAGGTATTAGATGTATATCATATCATGTATATCATATGTGTATCATATTTTTTATTCATTTTATTTTCATTCAAGTCCTGTTTGATTTAATTCACAACAGTCTTATGTACCTATATTTATGTTTTTTTTACATATTTTTTTTTTGATTCCAGGTTTTGCGTGGGTTCCTGTTGTCTTTTTCTTGCTTCCAGTTAGTTTTACGCCCGTGAAGCTGTGAAAACATTTATTTATCTTCAAGTTTCTGTAAGTCAGTGCATTGTTACTTTACTATTTCACTTTAACACAGCATCTCTGATGTTATTTAAATATTTTGATATTGATACAGTAGTTTATGGGTTTATAGCTCTTTAATTGTGTTGATTTGCATATTTACATTGTTCTAAATTCCAAATAAATATTTTTGAGTAATTTTGTTGTATTATTTACTACTAGAAAAAGTAAAAAGTATATTACCCTCATTTAAACCTCCTGAACAGCCCGCCATTAAAAACCGGAAACGGAAATAAAATTCATAAAATTGAAATTGTCATGTCAATGAAGTGTCTATGTCATGTCAAATCATGTCAAATGTCCCAGCCGCCATATCTGAAAATTAGTTACCCAGGCAGCCACGCTGTTTCCATAATTTAACATTGACTTGACACTAGAGGTGGGCCAGTCTGCGATTTTTGTGGAGCTGCTACGCTCTGCGACTGCTCCAATAAAAGCACTGTGACAAGTAGCAGCGATTTTTCGGAGCAATTAACCTATAAATTAAAAATGTAGTATTATAGGTTAATTGCTCCGAAAAATCGCACTCGGTGTTCGGCACCGTTAGTTGCATTTACTAAAAAAGTACAGGACTATAGGTGTGATTATGATAGGCAACATCATCGTCTAGTTTTTATTTATTTATATCGTATGATCGAAAAAACGGCGTCAGCGATAGCTATGAAATGAAGATTGCTGGCATTTTATATGTAAAATTTATGGGGAATGTTATCGATTGTCATTTCCAAGCCAACTGGACGCCGTTTTTTATTTCGATCAGTAGTGGCGATTTTAACGTCTGTGCAATCGGGGTAAGTCACCGACGGGCCCCAAGCCTCCCGGGCCCTTGCGAACAAGATTCGAACTTTTCCGAACTACGGGCCCCTAGAGCTCTTAAAATCGCGGCTGTACGGTACTATACTGATGTCTTAGTTTGATAGATGTTGCTATATTTTTTTAGTCTATTCAGAAGAATTTGAGTGTTTCTAAGTACCAAGCACTTTGCTATAAATATCTTAAAGAGTCTGTTCATTTTCACAGAGTGGTGGCCCATGGTAAAAACTTAATGTTATATTCAATTCAAAGTCGAAACTGTCAAAAAAATCTTTATTAGTGACCGGTTTCGGCTATTTAGCCATCATCAGACCTTAAAAATAGATATAAATAATAAAACTTATATGAATGTATAAGATCAAATAAAAGATTTAGGATATACAACAAAACACAGATACAAAATTAACTAACAAATAAACATACTAACAAGTTAAAAATTACCTTTGTCAAAAACATCTGTTTGTGATTAATATATAATACATAAATATCTTATTTAGATTCATGAAAGAAAAAGCGAACGCTGCTACGTTTCCCGTTCCCAAACTCCCAACAGCTCCAGTACACAGAATATACTCAATATACTATGCTCCAGTCGACTGCGACCTGCGACGACTGTGACTGGAACAGTCTGACGGGCGACGGGGCTAGGAGCATTTTCAGAATTTACACTATTGCCTGCTATTGCTCCTATTGCTACTCACGAGCGCAGATGTCCTAAACTTGTAAACTGCTCCGAAATGTCACTGCGATTTTCTTGGAACTGGAGCAGTCACATACTGCGACGTTGGTGGAGCTGTGACAAAGTAGCGGACTGCGATTTCACAACCCACCTCTACTTGACACTTCTTCTTGTATTTATTATTTTATGGCCACGACTTCAGGACTAAATTAATTAAATTAATCTGAAATCATTTTCGTTAGTATATTCTGTGCCTGAAATTAACTACTACAAACTGCTAAAAACAATGGAAGGATTATTATTAATAAAAGAATGCAAGTATTGCCACGAAAACTTAAAATCTTGTCTAGATGAAGGAATTGAATGTATTGTATGTAATTCTAATGTCCATGCTGGTTGCCTTAAGCGGGGCTCAGTCCCTGGTGGATTACACGGAGACCTATTTTATAATTTTACTTGCCAAGAATGTTCAGATATAGGCAGCGAAAAGTTTGTTAGGCAGAAGTTGTCTTGGTAATACTATCATTCGAATTTAGAAACGAAAGTCAGTAAATAAGTGTTATTTGTAGGCTGCAAGTCATCACATTGTCTTTGTATCATTTGGGGACAAAAAGTGCTGGTTTAGCGCGAAATGGGTTCTTTCATTGGCGGGATCATATAGTGGCATTCATTGATCGAAATTGGGATATTCTTTTCCCAAATGAAATCAAACGCAAAAAAAAGTGGATTGGTACAGTTGCAGGAAGGTTGTCTCATTACAGCTCATACTTATTTCTATCTGGAGGAAAAACAGTTATTAACAAAACAGCTTGGTGGACCCTTATGTACCCCAAAATTACACCCTTAGTTTTATCTAACATCTGTATGTCTTTATTTAAAATACATGAACTAATAGTTTCATAGTATGTTTATTTTAGACAATGTAATGAATTTAGAAAAGCAAAAGGCTAAATCAAGGAATGAAAAAAGAGTTACATCAGATGCTGAGAGTTTTGATGCTCTTCTAAAGCAATATGTTCCTGATGAAAATCTTACTAAAAAATTTGATATATCAAGAAGGCACATAAACAGTATAGAAAATATTGATGAGGTTGATAATCAAACAGAAAAAAAGGTATTAAATTTATTGTTAAGGCAGACTCTGATGACTCGGGTACTTGGCAAACATTTTTTATTGACATACAGGGTTCAGCGATAGTGCGGCGTAGCTCCTATAATAAATAACTAAGAAATTCTTTATAAATGCCTGGCGCACCCAATATACCTTGTATACCAATAACAAATGTGTGTTAAGTAGACGAGTCATCTGAGCACTCCTTTATAGGCATTACAGTAAGAATGTGAATTTCAGAAGCAAAAAAGTATTAAAAGAAAAATTCTGTTACCTAATTATAAAGACCTTCCAAAAAAGTAAGTTTTTATCATTCATATTGACCTGTTTATTGCATTTATATATTTTAGATTAATGAAATTCACTCCTATTTCATCATTGACAGAAGAGCCTGTTTTTTATGATAATCCCTCTGAGCAAATACCAATCCAGAAAAGTCAGAATGGGCCTTCAATGAAGCCATTAAAGTTATTGGATCCTATGTGTTATTACAATACATCCCTAAATAGTATTTTTTTTTCTGTTTAAAAGCTTTTAACATGTTTACATGAGTCCTTTCAGATATTTCAAGAATGAAGATGCAAAAAATGCATGTAAAACTTACAGGAAATATAAGAAAGGAGATAACACTCTCTCCGTATAGTGGTATATATTTAAAACCTTACATCAGAAGAGATGTAGATACTTTTCCCTCATGGTAAGAAGATTGTTATGTTTACTTAGAGAATACTAATTCAGTGCCATTGATATAGGTTAAAATTAATGGCAGAAATACAGCTGACCGCCAACAAAACCGATCCAGAATTTATTTTGAATCCTAGAGCTCCAATAGACTATACGTATGTTCAACCTGAACATATTCCTGCTATAAATAGTTTGTGCAATCAATTTTTCTGGCCTGGGATTGACTGTGAGTATATGTAGCAAAATTAAAAGAGTTATGAAGATAACATTGTCTGTAATTTCATTTTTTGTAGTAACTGAATCTCTGCAATATCCAGATTTTAGCTGCGTGGCTTTGTACAAGAGACTTATAATAGGTTTTGCCTTTTTAGTTCCTGATGTTAAGCATACAGAGAATTATATTTCCTTTGTATTCACAAGACCAGGATGGAGGAATTGCAGTATAGCCAAATTTATGGTGTACCATCTAATACAAGTAATCTGTTTTTTTCTTATATATTCTACATATATACTCTGTAACAAATCTGTTTTTAGACAAGTTTGGGACGAGATATCACGCTTCATGTCTCAATCAACAATCCAGCTTTATTTTTGTATCAGCAGTTTGGATTTAAAGTTGAAAATGTGGTTTTAGATTTCTATGATAAGTATTTTAGAACTGACGTGCAGGACTCTAAACATGCTTTCTTTTGTCGTTTAGAACGCTAAGAATATTTTATAAAATAAAACCCTTTTTTTGGAACCAGATTTTGTATTGGTTAAAAAAAATAATTCACAAGTATAATATATCAGGAAAAATGATAATATACATATACGGCGTGCCATTTAAAAAATTTGAGATTTTTTAATTTTAAGTAGTTGAAATTTATAAATATATTTTGAACACGCTGTAGCATCTAACTAAAATATCTTTACATATATCTTTTTCTCCATCATTATAAATTTCTCCTACCAACTTTTAGTTGTCCAACTTCAAAAACAATGGCATCACTGAACATTTTTTACCACACTGAAATCTACCATTTGTTGAAGCAAATTGAGCATCCGGATTGCACAACGACCTTAGCGCGTGACCGCGGGCAGCCCAGTAGGCAAGCGAGACAGCGACGCGCCGATTTAACAAAATAAATAATTTTAAACCTGCTGTCATTTCGTTAATAATTCTCGTATCGTGTTGATTTTTGCATTTACTCATGAGTCTTTAGCACTTCCGACAAGCCTAAATAACTGAATTATTTTTTATATTTTCGATTTGTTTACATTGCCCAAGCATATTATAACTTTGAGATAAAAATCTCTGTTATAAATTTTAAAACTGACAAATATGAATACTATCATTTAATTAGTTATACAATTAGTTACAACATATTCAAAATTTAGGTTTAGCGGTTTATGCTAGCAGTAATAGCGAGTATAAATAAAGAAATGGTCAGTACAACGCTCACCGTTTTTAGCGCACGTTCACCTTTGGTTTTAGTTTTAGCGCTATTTTTACAGAAAATAAATTCTGAATTTTGATCAAATGACAAGAACATTATCATTGCCGATATCTTCTGGTTATAATGTAGTTCTTCTTTCAAAATATTGCATTGTTTTAGCTTAAAAAAACCTTGAATTATGCGGCTTTTTTGTGAGAGCTACCGGCGTGGCGCCGGCGCTGCGTTAAAAAAGAGATGGCTATGTACGTCTATCGAAAGACAGTATTTGCGATAGTCTTTTGTTTACACGGAGTATAGAAAATTTTTGACACAGTTTGTTTACTACCAGTAGTATTTGTGCGTTTTTTTAAATTATTTATTATTAAATAGAGGGAAATGCGACCGAAAAGAAAGGTCAAATGTTAGTAGAAATCCGGATAAATGGAAGTGCAATATTTCCAAAAAATCTCGTGACGAGGTAAAATTACACTCTATTATGGCTATGATTGACGTACATAGCCATCTTTTTATTAACGCAGCTCCGGTAGCTCTCGCAAAAAAGCCGCATAATTCAAGTTTTTTTTAAGCGAAAACAATGCAATATTTTGAAAAAAGAACTACATTATAACCAGAAGATATCGGCAATGATAATGTTCTTGTCATTTGATCAAAGTTCAGAATTTATTTTCTGTAAAAATAGCGCTAAAGCTAAAACCAAAGCTGAACGTGCGCTAAAAACGGCGAGCGTTGTACTGACCATTTTTTTATTTATACTCGTTATTACTGCTAGCATAAACCGATAGACCTAAATTTTGAATATATTGTAACTAATTAAATGATAGTATTCATTCTGTCAGTTTTAAAATTTATAACAAAGATTTTTATCTCAAAGTTATAATATGCTCGGGCAATGTAAACAAATCGAAAATATAAAAAATAATCCAGTTACTTAGGCTTGTCGGAAGCGCTAAAGACTCATGAGTATTTCTATGCAAAAATCAACACGATACGATAATTATTAACGAAATGACAGCAGGTTTAAAATTATTTATTTTGCTAAGCCGCGTCCAAGCTACTCGAACAAAACGTTCGCGAACATATATAATTCACACTATATACTAGTAGCAGCAGGTCGTAAACGACGGCACAGCCCATCGCATCGGTCCCGAGGACTGAGGTGCGGGGAAGAATGCGACAACCAGTTTGCTCTATAAATCTAGAATGCGTTTAGGTAGTCGCTGTTTTTTCGAGTGCCAGGATTTCGAGTGCAAGCATATTATTAAATAAATTAACCGGTAAACAGTTTAAGAACTTTTGTCGTTGAAGAATCGATATTTAGCAGGCGGAGGGTTACAGGGGTCTTTTGGTAGATTATTCGTTATAGTGTATTTTTAAGACCTGTATTCATTTTCAGCCGATTCTACCAGGTGTTTCTCAAAAGGGGCTCACTTTTTTACTTTTTTATTTTTTCAGATAATACAACGAAATTTGGTTTGTTAGTATATGACATAAATCGGGATTGATTGACGTATTCAATTACCTTCGGTCGCTTCCTGTTTCACCGGAAATGACTACAACTTTGTATTTTTAGATTGTATCATAAGTACTTTTTTACTTTATTTGATAGAAAATGACATTCTGAATAGAATGACATACCATACGTCAATTTTAGACAATTCCAATTAAATAAAAATAGCATTTTAAATTTCAATCTAGAGTGCCAAGATTGAGTTAAAACTATTAATTTGTAATCAAAGAACTTTGGAAACATATATTTGATCGTGTAATTTTTTTTCGTATCCTTTCATGGCCGCTTAATAGATGCCCAAATCGCATTTTTAATGATAACTCAAATTTTTCAAATGGTACGAGGCTGGCTCAGCATATGTGGAAAAAGCATTTTTTGCGAATAATTTGGTACCACATACTTGGTATTTGGAGTAAAATTGTCGTTACGTTTATTTACGGCCATTTTTAAATTGAAAATATCAAAAGTTGACATATAATATATTATTCTATTTAGAATGTCATTTTCTCATCATATACGGTAAAAAATACCGAGGGTACCATTTAAATCAAAAGTTGTCATTTCCGGTGAAATAGGTAGTGATCGAAAATAAATGAAAGCGTCGATCAATTCTGATTTATGTCCTATACTAACATACCAAATCTCGTTTTTTATCAAAAAAATTTAAAAAGTCATAGAAGTGAACCACTTTTCAGAAACACCCGGTATATTTATTTCTAAAAATGTAATGGTAAAATTTCATTTCCGGTGTCAATCTTCCTAATAAGTAGTAATTTTTAATTTCAGAATCCCATAACAATTCCGGTTTTTAATAAAAAGAATCATAAAGGTCTTTATTAACAAAAATGAAATTATATGGACGAAGTCTAGCTACATAGCTATTCACACTCAACCCACAATAAAATTATAAAATATTTTCTTTGTGTAAACAAATTAGTTGTAAATGTTTTTCACGATCCCAGTCAATAACTGCGTCTCCCATTGTCGAATATCCGGTAAAAAATAAAAATCACAGATGGACGCCCGAAATTAAATGAGACCCTTCCAAGTGTCCGGTGCAATGTCTGCAAAAATGCACGCCGTTCGCTCCTTTTGATTTACCGACACCCGTCGGAAAAAGAACGCGCGCGCTATAGCATAGGCAGACGCACGCTCCGGCGTACAAGCTAGCCGTTCGGCGCTTCGCGCTCCTTAATAGGCCTAGGCTAGCTGTACTTGTTGGCTTTATTATTTATAAATCTACCTATCTCTCAATTTTCACTTAGTATCTGTTTAATTATATATGTTCGCGAACATTTTGTTCGAGTAGCTTGGACGCGGCTTTAAATCGGCGCGTCGCTGTCTCGCTTGCCTACTGGGCTGCCCACGGCCACGCGCTAAGGTCGTTGTGCAATCCGGACGCTCAATTGAAATATTACAAAAACTATTAATTTTAGGTAAATAATATACCGGGTGTTGCATCTTCGGACGGGACATAGGAAATCCCATGTAAATTTTAATGGGGTCAATTATTGGCTTCCCTAATTATTTTGGAGAATAATTCTATTTAGGTTTATTGAAGAGCTAAGGTCGTTGTGCAATCCGGACGCTCAATTGAAATATTACAAAAACTATTAATTTTAGGTAAATAATATACCGGGTGTTGCATCTTCGGACGGGACATAGGAAATCCCATGTAAATTTTAATGGGGTCAATTATTGGCTTCCCTAATTATTTTGGAGAATAATTCTATTTAGGTTTATTGAAGAGCACTAAAACCCACATTCAAAAGAATAACTTTAGATATTTTTGATTAGCTCGTTTACGAGTTATCGCCCGATTTCTTTTTAAATATTTCTCCTTTCTTATGGCCCTGTATTTACTTATGAGCACCAGTCAAGGTAAAAGATAACTGTCAAATGAAGTTGTCATTTCAGAAATTTACCTAGTAGTTACCTACCTTTTAGTGCTTTATTATTATCATGCCCTAGACACTCAATGGTAATTTTATAGAACTACAAATTTAGTTTCTTCCGCATCGCCAGACGGCGCAAAAGACATTAAAGTACAGGTTTCTAATTTATATATGAAGATGACATGACAGTCTCTATGTTAACTGTCTATGGTCTAGTTTTGTCTAGTTGACAAAATGTTGGTGATCCTTCAAGTTATTTTTAAATAATTATTAATTCAAATATTCCTGATTTGTCGGAAAGTTTAGTGATTTCAGTGATTTGTGTTTATAGTTTGTGTTTTTATTAGTTTGTGCATTCTGATATTTACAGTCGATCATCATTTTCGTGTTAGATACTAAACTTTTTTATTATAAAGTCATTTTGACATTTTAGAAGTGATAAATTTATGAGCCAAATAAAAAATAGTTTAATCATAAATAAGTAAGTACATAGTTGGTAATATACATAGACTTAAAATAAAATATAGACTACACTATTTACATCTCAACGCGGACAAACAACCTTTTTTGTACACATGTTTACTTCTGGGTACAGTCGACCGAGCCTTCCTCATCCAGCCTATGTTGTCACGTCTTTAATATTATCAATATTTTTTTTCTTGTTATACACATATATTGAGATATTAATACTACAGTTTAATAAAGTAGGTTTTAATATTCCAGAGATGTATTAAATAGTCCTTATACTACTAAATTATAAGTCGGATACTGTTTAAAAAGGATAAGTTCTTTACAATATGACAACACCGATTAGAGGCGAGGGAGCCTATTCATTCATTTATTACCTTGTAGTACGTGTCGCACGTGTGCGGTAAAGCTTTGTTGCCGCTATCTCCCCGGCT